AGATCTCTGCTGGGAGCTGCTCCCTAGTTGCCGCGGCTCTGCGGGGGCTTACGGGGGTGGGCGTTTCTGCCGCCAGGGCATCGCGAACCCCTGGGAACCGCGGTGGCTGGAGCCGGCACAAAGTCCCTCGCCCCGTGTCTGGATGCGACAGTCGCTTCCTTTCTTTGGCGCCTTTTACTCCTGTAGCGTAGCTTACCAAACTTCACAAAGGAAATATAAATGCTAGGAATGGAGTACCAGCCCCTGCTGAGAGGACCTAGCAGGCGGGGCAAGGTAAGCAGACCCGTCTTGACCTGCAGAGCAGAGGTGGTTCCCACTGAGAGTTTATAACTTTAACAACGATTCACGCACGGGAAATTCTCTAATTGTTTCATGTTTAGTTTTAAATCAAAATTACATTAAATGATCGGGCTTGTGGAATTTTATATTTTCCTGTGACTTTTAGCTGTGGTATAAAATGGGAGCCATAAAAGCACATTTTTTGATTCTTATGTATTTACACTGAGTGTTAAGTTGAACTGACTTTTGTTTGTCATGTGTTTCTGAAATGAGGTGAAAGCGCTCATAAGCTGTCAGGACTTAAGCAGCTCACGGAACAGGTAAGGTTGTTGTCTGCGCTCTGAAAAGTCCGGGCTCGAGCTCTCATGTGACACAGCATGTGAGGGTAATGAGCAGACTGGTTTGGGCAAGAAGAAGAATGGAGGTATAGTAACAAAATATGAATTACATGATATGCGTTAGTTATTCTGGGTGTGCTTTTCATTTTTTTCCCCTAAGTAATATCTTCTCACTGTTGTACCGTTTAGCTCTCAGTCCGATATTAAATAAATCTAAGATATTTTTGGAGAGAAAGATAAGGCTCCTGTGCTATTTTTAACTAGGATTAGAAGGTAACAGCGTTGCTCAAAATAAAGTAATACAGTAGGAGTGCTTTCTCGTAACTGTAAAATAATAATGATTCTTACTTATTCCTCCAAGTAGAACTTGGAGTTTGTAACAAAAAGTTTTAACCATCTATTCTGCTTCTCTGAAGTGGCTAGTTCAGGTCAAATGAGTCAGCGGCAGAGATGGGAATCAAATCTGTGGACCTTGTCTTCTATTTCTGTGCAAAATTTATGAGTTTTGCACTTCTGCGTGTGACTGGTGGTGGTGTTACTGTGTCAGTGCTGCTACATTTTCGTTGGTCTTGATCAGGATGATGTTATTTCTTGTTTGTTCCTTGTTAAGCATGCTTTGATTGTCTGTGGTCATATTACATAAGTTAAAAACAATGACCTTGGTAAACGTAGAAGACTTTTGCAGGAACATCTTGACCTTGAGTTATTCTAGAATTAAAGTGTTAACCATGAAACTTCATTCTGGTTGGTAGGAAGAGATAACATGGGCATGAAGGAGTTAAGGCAGGCAGTCACATTATCTAACAAGGGCTTATGTCGAAAAAAATCCTTCTCAACAAGAAGTAAATTGATATTTGAGCAATGCTGCTTTTTCTCTGATCTAATTATACTTAAGTGGAAGTCACCAGTGGGCTCTTTCAGAAAACCGCTCCCCTTCATGCATTCTTGGTGTTGGAAAGAGCAGAATAATATTGAGAACTCCAAACTGTTTTGCAAGGGGTTATTCCAAAATTACCACTTGTCATTAGTAATTGGAAATAGAGGGTGCATGGCGACTTCTGGTAAGAGTCTACTGTCACAGACATGCATCGAAGAAATAGAGGATAAAAAAACATCGCTATTTTAAAGACAAGAGAACGTTGCCTGGACCATGGATGACCTTTTATGGCTTTCAGACTTTTAATATAGTTAACGTTGATGCTATTTTTAAAATTCATCAACATTACTCTCTATTTATAGACGATCTAACATATGTAGTAATTTGTGGAAAAAAATTATTGTATCAACTCAAATGCCCTGGAAGAATCAAGCAAATCAGTTACTGTCTTTTCTAGATTCCAGGTTGCCTCCCATGAGGCACACAAACTATGCTGACAGTGTTTTTGGGGAGTTATAGAAGGGTTGGAGTATGCAGTGTCTATATTTACCACCTGTAGTTTTAGTTCTCGTATCGTAATCACTGCGGCCCTTATTTGTGGCTCCTAATTGCTTTTGAGCAGTTTTTCAGAGCATCTCAGAGAAACGCTTTATTCTGAGGAAATCCTAAGGCACCCAATGGAAGTATTACTTGGATTTTACTTTGATAAGATCAATTTCAACTCCCTCTGAGGAAGAGGGAGTTCAGTTCTGAATGAAGAAAGTCATGATCAATTATCTTCTGAAAGACAAAACACTTGCAGAATACAATATAGCATCTGGGATAACTCAGCATTTCTGGGAATAGGACCAAGAATGAGAATGATGAAGAACTAGTTTACATACCTTGAGAAGGCAGTACAAGTTTATCAAAGAGAATTGCTTACAGTCTTTATCTATGAAGGAAGAGGAAATTAGATAGAAGTGCATTTAATATAGGAGACAATGTTGTGTCTAGCTTAAGTTAGGCAAAAAGATACTATGCGATGAAATTAGGACCTAATTTTTAATGAAGAGGTAGTTAGCTATTAGAACAATTGGGCATTAATTTTTGTACGGCCATATTCAATATAAAAGTATGGTCAAGAAGCATGACGTTATGAAGCCAGACTCTGTGTAAACCTGCAGAAATCCTCTCTGACCCAGAGGCCTTATGTGAAGTCAAATGTTTTATGACCAATTAGACAAGAAATTAGAATGTATCGTAACAGTGGTTTCTGTTGGCCTTAAAATCTATGGGTCTATCAACCTATTAATTTGAGTTCCTAAATATTGATTTAGGAAAGTAACTTTAGGTCATCGGATCTGAAAAGTTAGATGCTAATAAACTTTAGATTAAATATTATTATCAATGCCCAATGTGTTGTAATTCATGGTAATAAGGTTTAGCACTGCTAACTTGTAGATGTTTAACGATCAACACGGGGTCTTGTTGAGGTAAATATTTTGTTTCTTACATCTCAGATGAAATGTGAGTTGTAGAATTTGGGACTTGGTGAATTCTCACGCTGATTCATTGTGCCTTTAACACCAAACATAAGCAGTTTTGACATTCTTTCATAAAAAAATGGACACTATGAGCAGCATGGTTCATTGAAAAAGCGTTTACACCGTTCAGTAAATATGCCATCAGATATGCAATGATTGAGTAGTGCGCATTTAATCTGAAAATTTGTCTTTGTTTCATCTCTGAAAGATGCCAGTGATCATGGCCAGAGTCAGCATGAAATGTTTCTCCTCCTGCAGATGTTTGAAGTTGTATAGTTTTATAGCCAAATACTTTCACTGTTCAAAAATAAATGCATGATTGTTTCACTGTGATTTTTTTATTCTAGACAGAACGTGCGTGTGAGTTCAAGGTCTTATCCCTTTTCATGCCTCTGTCACTCTTTTGTCTTCTAGCTCCCCAGCTGGACCTTATTTCTGTCTGTCTGTGCTGTGGGAATTGGAGGGACCTTTCAGTATGGATATAATGTTTCTATTATCAATGCACCCACTCAGGTAAAATATTGTCTTATCATTTACAGGGTTGTTTTATCCTAAGTGAGATATTCTGTCTCACTGGACTGACAGGCCAAATGCACTTTGACTGTGATGGCGGTGGGAATTAAAGCAGGCTTCCTCTCATATGAAGGCGATTGATTGATTGTTGATTTCTTAAAGGATTTGGTAAGAAATCCTCCCATAAGAGGTATTCCATGTCTGATAAAAGTGACAAAACATGCCACCTGAATACCTCTAAGTACCTCTTTGAAAGTCTGTTTTTGAAGGATTAATTGAATGCATAAGTAATATCTTCCATTTATACCTTTGGCTAACATAGCCCAGAATATTAAAGATGGTTATAGCAGGCCGTTACAAGACAGCAGATTGAGAAAGATCTTTTCAGAGAGCCCAAAAAGTTGGATATCAGACAGCAGTTGTGATGTCCGAGTCGGTATCTTAGGCGTTTCCACCCACTTGTTGGTTTTGTGTCCATTACCATGGCCTTGAGGATTCTGCATACTTTATGGATGACTCAAGAGGAACTGAGCTAGTGATCTTATGAAAGTGACGGATACAATTTTCTGCTGTCAGCTGATTGATTTTCTTACCAAATTTTGAAGACTGAATTTGCTATAGCATTGTATGCTTTTTAAAAACGTTAAAATTAGCTGATCATGAGGGAAGATGGCCTATACTGGAAACAGAGGGAGAGTCCAGGAAGTTGGTTCATGTGTTAATTCTTTGTTTGCTGGCTAACGACATGGGTCTATAATTGCAGATGCAAGTCAGTTCAAGAGTTTCTAAAGGCAGATTTTACAAAATCGAGCATTTAGAGTAACAAGAGAGTACTGGCGTGTGAAGACTGTAAGAAAGGAGTAGGAAAATTAGAGTTGAAAAAGGGGATTTTACTATGAATTGTTGGATTAGGCTAAAAGCAAAATTTAAATCAAGTGTCAGGATGAACTTCCTGACAGTAGAATCTGTTAGATTATGAGACTTCTTTTCTGTGAGATGTTGCTAAAAGCCGGTGGGACTTGCCCATCTTCTCTGTCCCCCCTTTCATTCAGAAGGACCTCAAAGCTCTTTCCCAGCAGTATATGTAAAGGTTGTGTGTCTCTAGAGGAATATAGGCTCTCCTGAGGTAAGGTACCACAGGAAAGCCACCCAGCAGTCTTTGAGACGTACGTGGAGTAGGAAATGCTATTCTGGTCAGAGAAGATTCTGCTAGTCATTCATATTTTTAATATAATGCCCCTAAGACAGATGTCTCTTGTTAGCTCCCAGAATGGGATTTCAGGATTTAGATGAAAGTTATTTATAGTGCTACCCTATAGGGCTTACACATAATGTTACACATTCCTCATTCTTTTGTACTGCAGCATATACACAGGTTCTTAAATGAAACCTGGACTAGTCGTTATCACAAGAAGCTAAATCCAGATTTGCTGACTTTTCTCTGGTCTGTCATTGCTTCTATATTTTCACTTGGAGGCCTGTGTGGAGCCCTTATTGGAGGCAGCATGGCGATCCGGCTAGGCAGGTGAGTTATGGCAGCAGGTAGAGATGCAGCATGTTTTCTCTTACACTTTCGCACTGGAATATAATGTAATGTAAATAAATAGAAAAAAGAATGGGAGAAAATGTACCTTAAGTAACTATAAATTTTTTTCACTAGGAAGCAATTTTCTAGCAGTATTTTACAGTTTATTCCAATGTGATTTTAAAAGAAGAATGCTGATTTATAGTCTTCCAGTCCAGCCCTTCCATTAAACTTATTGATATCTAAGCAGGAGTATGCACACGCTGTGTGATATGAAGCAGTTTCCCCATACGCACATTTACAGCCTTCCTGCCAGTAAGGACACGCTGAATAATTTGTAACATTGCATAAGCATTCCGTGTAGATATAGCATGAATGAACACAAACACACCCCTACCTTGTTATGCAATTCTGTTGTATTTACGCTTTATGTTTGTGCTTAGACTTTGTTTTTAAATATGAGGAAATAGTTCTATTGGCTATCCTAATTTCCAGTGAATAGACTGTTTCTTCTGTACAAAGCCCTTTTTTCCATATTATCAAAAAGGAAAAGGTGTTTTAACAAACACGTTACTCCATATTTCCATAATTTTTCTTTTTTTTTTCCCCCCTTTAGAAAAGGAGCTCTTATGATGAACAATATCATAGCAATACTGGCCTCCATTTTAATGGGGATCAGTTTTCCCACAGGATTGTTTGAGCTATTGATTGTTGGCAGGTTTTTGATTGGCATAAATTCAGGTAAATGATTTTCTATTCCTACATTCAGTAAACTATAGTGAATGAGAAGTTATCATTACTGCTGGTTTTGTAGTTAGCGTGATTCCTCTTTGCATGCTGCTTTGTAGAGATGATGAGAAAAATACCGTGCAGTCTAAATTGGAATCTGAAGGCTGTTAAGTTCATAGACAGATCAGAAAAGGTCTGACTTCTTACAGGTTTTGGTTGAGTAACCGTTCTCAGAGCAAATTCTACAGACTAAAAAGACTGTAGTGCTGTCATGGTGACCTAGTGTAATGTGACATGTTTATAAAGGCATGGAGCACCATATCTTTGGTGGTATCAGGGGAATAATGATTATAATAGTGGTGGTATTCTGCCGCAAATTTCAGCAGTGGGCTGTGGCAAACTGGAGGTGTGGTATCACTGGAGGGACTGGCAAAGCTCTAGAGCTGCTTGGGGGGATTCTCGTAGCAGTTGTCTGGGAAGAACAATATCAGAGGCAAAAGCTAAATAAAATCAGATCAAGGTGGCTTGAATCAGGATGATGGGCAAAATAACTGTGCAAAATACAGCCTCCTGTGGAAAGAG